GTGTGTGTGTGTGTGTGTGTGTGTCTGTGTGTGAGATGAAGCAGTAAAGTGTAGAGAAGTAAATCACTAGCATTAAGGTTGTCTACGTGACAAAGTCTCTTCCAAAATCAGACAGTTTCTTTGTTCCTATTAAAATGGAAAGTTCTGTCTCATAAGTCTTTAAAGCCACCAGTGAGTCAGGGAGGAACATAAATTAAGGACTAATACACTTCATTGCTGTTCTTATTTGTTATTCAGCAAAATAAAGGAGACTGGAAAGAGAGAAAAGATCTTTGAAACAAGGCCATCCGGTATGGCCTGAAGTATCTGTTTGTGGGAGCTGGGAGCTGCGCTTAGGCAGACTTGACTGACATTTTTAAAAAGCTACGTTCAGATTTCTTCAGTACCAGAAATTGGCAGGGAACTCCAAACTGTCAATTAAACTGAGAAGTTAAAAAAAAAAAAAGTCCTATAAGAGGGAAGTGGCCAACTATCCCATATTGTTAGCAGGAGTCAAACTCAGTTTGGGGAAGACTCTCATTGCCTTATATGTCTATTTGATCTTTTTCACTTTCACAAATGGAAGTTCCAGGATAAGTTCAGAGCACCCTTTCACTTGTCAAGTGGAACTTGTGGAGATTGGAGGGATTATTTCCAGGAGGAGGAAAAGAAGGAGGACACAGGTAGCAGGTAGATTGCCCTTTAAGGATGCAAGGAAGATAGTTACCATCGAATGGAGATCAATATCTGGTGATTGCCTGGTCAAATCTTTGCTATCTTGACCAGTCCTAAGAAATACAGAAGGCAGATCTGGATACACTGCTGGAATGTGGGTCTTCCGCAACAGGTTAGCCAGATGTTCTGTCTCTCAAATGTTTCAGAATAGTTGCCTCAACGATTGCCTCAAAATAACATTGTCCTACTATTCTGAAGTGGAAATGGATCAGTTTAATTAGCCATAGCTCCCAACTCATAAATATTGCTTATGATAAATAGTAATATATGACTTACACTTGATATAGGATGTATTAACAAACAGAGTAATAGAGAATGAAAAGTAGCTCATTATAGAAAACAAATAATATCCTAAAAGTCCTTGTAGACTTGGCATAAAGACGCATCATTTTCTTATGGCCAGAAGCTGCTGAGAATGTGAATGATGATGTCAGAACATCAACAGAGTTTGCAAGTCCAAAGTCCTTATCCTCTTCCTTCCTTCCTTCCTTCCTTCCTTCCTTCCTTCCTTCCTTCCTTCCTTCCTTCCTTCCTTCCTTCCTTCCTTTCTCTCTCTCTCTCTCTCTCTCTCTCAATGGAGGGATTAAGACCCAATATACTTTACAACTATCCCAAATAAGAACAATCATTCCAGTTGGGAAGGTTGAGGGGTTTAAGGGTTAAACTGTGTACAGTAGGCTGCACCTTAATCCCCTTCCCCAAATCTTTAAAATAATTCTTCCTCCCCATATTCCAGAGATTCCAAGCCATAAAATAGGTTAGGGATGCGTGCAATTTGTCGGACATGGACTGTTCACCTATGATGTAGTGTATTTATCCCTGCTTATGCCCATATTGTTTGCCCCCATATTTACATGCTTCATATATTAACTGGTTATCCCTCTGATGATTTCCAATGATTTCCCTGATGTTTTCCAGTTGTAGCTTGTAGTTTTATGTTATGCTAATCTTGATGCAAACTGCTCAGACGCACACAGCAGCTTATATCATTTGCAAACTCAACCATGCCAAATGATTCAATATAAACATTATATAGACATTGCTTTTAGATATAAGAC